TGTTGCTTGTTAGAATTAGATGTCATGTCTACTATTGCTTGTTAGAATTAGATGTCATGTCTACTGTTGCTTGTTAGAATTAGATGTCTACTGTTGCTTGTTAGAATTAGATGTCTACTGTTGCTTGTTAGAATTAGATGTCTACTGTTGCTTGTTAGAATTAGATGTCATGTCTACTATTGCTTGTTAGAATTAGATGTCTGCTGTTGCTTGTTAGAATTAGATGTCTACTGTTGCTTGTTAGAATTAGATGTCATGTCTACTATTGCTTGTTAGAATTAGATGTCTACTGTTGCTTGTTAGAATTAGATGTCTACTGTTGCTTGTTAGAATTAGATGTCATGTCTACTATTGCTTGTTAGAATTAGATGTCTACTGTTGCTTGTTAGAATTAGATGTCTACTGTTGCTTGTTAGCAGTGTAATAACTATGCATGGGATCTTAATGAGAGAACTAAAACGGCTTTGAGTCTGTGCCATAATAATTAAAACTGAGCCAAATCATCTTGTCTACTGCTGCTTGTTAGAATTAGATGTCTACTGTTACAACCTGACCTAAACTACACAGAAATAGACCCAAACTAAACTACACAGAACTAGACCCAAACTACACACAACCAGACCTAAAATTCACACAACTAGACCTAAACTACACAGAACTAGACCCAAACTACACACAACCAGACCTAAAATACACACAACTAGACCTGAACTACACAGAACTAGACCCAAACTAAATTACACAGAACCACACCTAAACTACACAGAACCACACCTAAACTACACAGAACTAGACCCAAACTAAACTACACAGAACCACACCTAAACTACACAGAACTACTCCTAAACTACACAGAACTAGACCCCAACTAAACTACACAGAACTAGACCCAAACTAAACTACACACAACCAGACCTAAACTACACAGAACTAGACCCCAACTAAACTACACACAACCAGACCTAAACTACACACAACCAGACCTAAACTACATAGAACCAGATGCAGAATATAGAGCATAGCAACTTGATATCAAAGGCTGAAATATACATAACAGACCAGACCAGAAATATAACAGAACAAGACACTGAAAATAAAACATCAGGCTTGAAAATTATTTTATTCACTTAATTTCAAACTGATTTGGTAAAATCAGTACTATCTCAGCTATACACATGGGATAAAATAGGCAACTGTTAAAGAGTATATATAGACATCATTAAAAAAAAAAAAAAAAAAATGGGCAACCATAAAAGACTAAGTACTGACTAGTAAAGCTAAGAATGTTTATTTGAAAAAAAAAAAAAGTTCACTGCTTCATGAGTTATTCTGAAATGTGTGTTTATGAGGAAGACATGGGGCTGTTGAGGCATGCACTAGCCATGTGTACCACAGCCTTCTTGAGAACTTACACCAGGCATGACACAGTGTTTTTAATGAGAATACGTAACTTTATGTACTTTTTACACACACACAAAAACAATAGGAAAACTGTAAAACTTTGCTCAGGTGAAACGAAAATAAGAAAAAATGCAGAACTATTTTGATTATTCTTCTCAGTTCAGCGATGTCACAGTCTGAGCAAATCTAACAGCTGTATCAGGCCTGGATGCATTCTAGCTGGCTCAGGTAACCTGATGGTAACTAAAAAACTAAATTTCAATAACAAACTCTGCTTCCTAACTGCATTAAATTAAGTCCCCAAATATAATTAATGAACAAGGGACTTCAGTGATTCTTACACATATTCACAATAATTATAGATGATGAATTATTATCAAGTAATTAAAAAAGATATATATTATATATGAAAAGAACGAAGGTCACGAAAGAGAAATGAAACAAATTATACATGAATGCTAGTTTGTGTTTGTTTCTGCTTACGGCAATGCTAAGCCACGGCTGCAAGAGAGGGAAATAAATAGATACAAAATACCAAATATTATCATGTGAGAGAATCAAGATGATGGCCGTTGTAGTCACCACACAGACTAATGGCTGGTTGGAGACAATCAATGACATGATAAACTATACATTTATAAAGCTGACAACAAATTATTTAAAAAACTAAACTCATAATGCAGGTCCCTGATTAGCAAAAACTATCTTCTTTTACCCCACCAGGACATCACACAAGCAATAAACACCTGATGACACAAAGTGCCACTATGTGGATGAGGATCACCCGTGGAGAGGTCCCGGAAACCGTGGTCAGCCATTATGTTTATGGCCAGGCTATATTGGGGCCCCAAGCAAGAGCCAGAGTAGGGCTTCAAAAAAATGAAAAACTGCATCCCAAAAAGGGATGACAAGGCAGCAATAAAGGTGAAAACTGTGACAATGGAGGTTCTTATAGGCTAAAAATGTGATAATAGAGTCTTTGATTGGTTAAAATGATGAAAATGCAGGGCTCTGATAGGTTAATAGTGCGATCATAAAGAGTTCTGATTGGCTTAAAGCGTCATAATGCAGCGCTCTGACTGGTGAACACTGTGATAATGAATGGTTCCGATAGGTTAAAACTGTGATAACACAGGGTTTTGGTTGGTTAAAACTGTGAAGCCGCAGGGCTTTGATAGGTTAAAAGTAATAACAAAGCACTCTGATTGGCTAAATGTGTTATAATGGAGGGCTCTGTTAGTTATAACTGTGATAATGCAGGGTTTTGAATAATAACCTATGACTATGGTTGGCTAAAACGATGATAAAACAGGGCTCTGATTGTTGAAATCTGTGATATGTAGAGTTTTCATTGGTGAAAACTAATACCAAAGTGCTCTGATTGGTCTAAATTGTAATATTATAATAACTCAATTGTAATAATATTACAATAGTGCAAGATTGATATATATTCAGGCTAGTACCATTGGAATTTGAACCATGCACTTGCTGTCGAAGATGGGGACGTAGTGCTTATGGGGATGTCCTGAGTGCTGTGATAAATGTATATATACAGGATGTATATCTTGTTGTTATAAACAGAGCAGAAGGAAGAAGTACCTATTATACTTCTGAATGTTCATTCCATGTTCAGCAGATATATCTACAACAGGGGTGGGCAAATTAGGACCCATGGGCCAGAACTGGCTCGGCAAGCAATATTTATTGCCCCATGAGGCTGGTGTAAAACTGGTCACAAAACTGCATAAAACAAGCGCTTCAGTGAGTGAGGGTGTCTGGCCGGGGGTGTAGGGAAGGATTATAATCTTAGATAATCCCACAAATGTATCCTATTTTTAGAAAATATGGGTGTAATGTTATAATGGATTTTTAATATATATATATATATATATATATATATATATATATATATATATATATATATATATATATATATATACACACACACACACACACACACACACACACACACACACACACACACACACACACACACATGCACGCACGCACACACACGCACACACACATGACCCGTGACCAGGTTGGTAATTCTGAATTTGGCAGACGGACAAAAATGGTTGCCCACACCTGATCTACAGCCATATATCACAAGTACTGCTAATCTTTTTTGAAGTAGGTGTCCTTCCATGCCACATCTTCATATTCTTCACCTGCTTCTTCCTTGAAAAAGGCTGGGGCCTTGTGCTGTGGTTTACAGACAGGCTGTGATATCTGCATCATTCTGCCGACACATCAATGTCGGCGTACTCCTACATAGCTGCTTTATGACATGCTTATTAGGCGGCAACAAAACTGGACCCAGGAACCCACAAGGAAACTCTCTTTACATTATACCGACAATTATCTAGTTTGTTTACTAAGTCTTATGGCTGATATAAGCACCCAAACCACACCACGGCAAGTGACTTTGTAAACCACTGGGCGCATCAATCATCATGTTTTATACGGATAAGCAGGGCTGCTGGGGTCTGCCACCGTTAGATTTCCATCTGAAGAGTAGCTCCATAACTCTTTTATTCCTAGAATATCATAGCTGATGCCTTCTATCCCCCAATGGAGCATAGGTCCTCAACCAACTCACAGCAAGTCATTCTATCATTTATTATTGCATGTCCTCCACCCTTTTTTTTTTAACTTCCCTCTCTAGCTCCCTTCTCCATTGTGTGCTTTGGTCTGCCTTTTATGTAATGTCACTGTGGGTTCCAGTGTAAAGACATTCTAGTTACCATTCAGCTGATGCCAGACTGGAGTGGGTTTGGTGAACAACCAAAGCTTGGCTATACTGCATTCACAAGGGCCAAATATACAGTAGATTGTGAGTGACTTGTAGTGTTGGGCTGAGTTTGCCTTCGCTTGCTGCTGAAGATGGGGACGGAGCGCTTATGGGGGGTTCTCGAGTGCTGTGATGTCGATTCTTTATTCAACATTCTTCCAGTCTGCCTGACTAAATGTAAGCTGTACAAATATACAAAGCATGTTGAATAGTGCAAAAAATGGTAATATCCGGTACACATAGTATTGTTAAGGACTGAAAGAATTAGATCAAGGAGTTGAATGTGGAATCAAGAATGATTTTACCACACTTAGGACACTCCCATATGTGTTTCATCCCCATCTTCAGCAGTAAACAAAGAGTTCCAATTCTGATGGCACCAGTATTTGTGTGAAGCTACATGTCTCGCCTCTCCTTTGAGTTCTTGAGCCAGATCCCCTGGTAACTCCCTGCAGCGCCATTCTCCTCAGACCGTAATGATCTGTTTGTGCCACCGCACTGTTCACTCGCTCCCAAAGGGCTCTAGCAACCTCTAGCTTGTCATACATCAATTCACCACCAAGTCTATCTGCCTGCTGGTTTCCCAACACACGGGCATATCCAGGAGAAAATATCCAAAGCAGACTAACTACCCCGGACCTTTGAAGCAATGCTCACCACTCTGCACAGAGCATGCCTGTCTCCACCTTTCTCATCAGACTCTGTGAGTCAGTTACAATCATAACATGCATGTACAGCTGGTTCTCAATACAGGTCAAGAAGCACCAGGCTACAATCACAGAAAAACCACAAATAAACCACTCACATCTTTGTACGTGTCATCTTTGTGCAGCTCCAAAACCTTGAGGATTGTCAGTTCCGCAAAGCTTTCAAACCGTTTGGGAAACTGCAGCAGCATCTTCTGGAGACACTTCAGAGCCAGCACTTTCACATCACCCTGGTTCCAGGAAGCAGAATAAAACACTGACTACAACTGGGTTTTTAAAATAGGAGTCAGGGGCCAGACTTTTTTCAAAAATGACCTTGGCTACCAGGTCGACCCAGCCTTAAGCGGGTAGCAGGTACAGTCCTGGAAGTAAAGGTGGCCAGCGTGATGCTGACCATACCACCCACAAGTACCGTTTGGTCTATAAAATATAGGTCTAGCTCTATATACCGAACATGCCTTAAGGTGCGGAAAAGGGTCCTTAACACTACCAGAAAGATATACCGCTTCTGCTGTAATTTCCACCTCTGCTGCTAAACCGCTGTACCTGATTGTCAGTTCTTTCTGTGCTACGTGAAAACAATGCGTCACAAACTAAAAATAACTAGCCAATCATGGTCAGACCTCGTGGATAGTCATTCCAGATGTCTGCCCACGTGTGTTTGGATTTACTTTGTGTGGTTTAACATAAACAAATTCTGAATATTCACAGTTAAACAAGCAGCTGATGAACCAAGCATTTCAACAGGAAAGTAAAGTAGTTCTAGGATTTCCCCAGTCCAACAGGTGATCGATACTTAGGTTGATTCAGACTCTTAGAAGTTAGAATGTCAGGAAGAATACGTTTCCAGTTGAAGTGACAGTCAGTGAGAGCTCGAGTGATGAGGAGAATCTGGAAAATTATAGATTTAAAACTAGATAGCTAGTAAGAGAAGGGGCATGTCCCTCAAACAGCAACATCTGGTGTTCACTTTGTGAAACAAGGCTGATCCTGCTGGGTGGACTAGCACACAAAGTTGGAATATTGGGGCTAGATGAAAGGTTAACCTATTTTCTACAATGTCTCCAAGTTTTATCTTATTCTAACCATTTGTTTGCATGGTTCAGGGCCTCAGGCCTGGTAAGGTTAATTTTTAATAAGAGTCAGAAGTAATGAAAAGTGGTTGCAGCGCAATTTTTCACAAATTAATTCTCAGATCAAATGGTTTGGACATGTGCCAGGACTACCAGAAAACAGTGGCCCATAAAGAGACCACTTACCCAGACTTAATGGAAGCTGTTCTTGAGGTAGACCATGGAAGCAATAGATAGATGGAATATCTGAAGCCGAAAATATCAGCATGTACAAAGCACATACCAAAGCTGGCACTTGATGCCTCTTCAAAACCTGATGTTGAATAGCAGAACGGTACTAGAGAAAAAGAAGAAGAGCGAGAAGAAGAAGAGAAAATCTTTAGTTCCCAAGTGGATTCTGCAGCCCCAGTTTTGTTGTTGTTGTTTTCTTGTATAAATAACTGACTAACTGGTGAACATTAAGAAGAGGGAAAGAAGATATCTTTAGCAAAAGAGCCTCAAAGATGCAGGCACACATGCCACGGGAAGACAGGAATGTACGCCAAAGCTTTGAAAACCTGCTTACATTTTGTGAGACAGACAGAGAGGAATGTGTAAGCCAGCATGTGAAAGAGGGAGCAGGGGGAAGAGAGTGGCAGAATAGAGAGAAAAAGAGACAAAATTAAGAAACCAGAGAAAAAAAGAAGAGAGAGAGAGAGGGGAGGGAGGGAGGGAGAGAGAGGGAGAGAGAGAGAGAGAGAGAGAGAGAGAGAGAGAGAGAGAGAGAGAGAGAGAGAGAGAGAGAGAGAGAGAGAGAGAGAGAGAGAGAGAGAGAGAGAGAGAGAGAGAGAGAGAGAGAGATAAAAGAAATAGAAAATGAGAAAATCAGTTCTCTTTACAGGTTCACACAAATCACAAGCATTCACAGATACAACTATTCACAAATGTACATTCACGCACATGTGGGCTCACACACACACATAGAGAAAGAGAGAGACAGACAGACAGAGAGAGATAGAGATATGGAGAAAGAGAGAGAGATGCACAGACAACAGAGACACAAAACCTCACGTTTGCATCCCCCAGGGTCTCCAAGAGAATCAGCAGCAGTGACTTGAAATGCTCCTCCAGCAGGACCTGGGTCACCGAACCTTTGTCCACCAGTCCCTGTAGGCACAGCATGGCGTTCTTCCTCTGCTCAACCCTGCACACACAAACAAACACAACTGTCTGTCACACTAAAGCATGACGAATAATGATACAGAATATGGTAATCTATGTCCTGCAAAGGGTAGCCGCCATGGTGCAGCGGGTAGATTCTCACCTGCTGATCATGTGATGGTCATGTGATGGGAGGAAGAAAACATGAATGAGTACCTCGTAACAGTAGGAAAGTTAAAGAGGAGAGAGGAGGAGAGGCAGAGGGAGACAGAGAAAAGATGCTGGACAGTCTGACATCATGGCATGGAGGATCATCTGGGGCAGAGCTAACTTAAAGTACATGAGACAGAAGGTTATGGACAGACATGACTACCATGTGGGTTGAAGTCCTCACAATGTCAGATTTGTTCCTATGCAAGACCTTGACTTCTAGGTCAATTCAGCCTTAAATGGGTACCAGGCAAAGTCCTTAGAAGTAAAGGCAGCAGGGTGATGCTGATCATATCACCCACCAAGTGTCGATAGGTCCACAAAATACAGGTCTACCCCTATATGCCCAATATGACTGAAGGGAGGACACGGGTCCTTTACATCACTTATATGCTAATCTACAATAACATAATACATTATCTATAATAGAAATACAGCTTACGTTAATTCATTAGCGACTGTCATTCTCTTTATTTAGACTTGTATCTATCCACAAAAATAACCACGTTGAACCTCAAATGTGAATAACTTCACATCTAGCCTAGACTCAATGCAATGCTTCAATCACCAGAATACCCTAACCTTTATGAGAAAGATCCCAAGTCCCTGTACTGATCAATATATAGCTCTGAAGTGTGAATCACCAGCTGTAACTGTTGAATTCTTCCAACATCTGTTGATTTGCCAGATTGCAGCTCTATCGGCAGTGTTTGGTTATTGATTGGCAACAGATGGCAGCAGACGTGAGTCACATGCTAGATATTTTGTCTCTTTCTGAGCAGTTAACGGTGTTATTATATATAAACTGACTTTTTCTTTACTCCGTATCTTTCTTCTTGCTTTTAAGTTCATTTGATTTCCTTCTTATACATTTTTTATAATTTACAAAATGAAGAATGTTTTATGTAATCTTTGTCAATTGAGATGAGAAAAAGAATTCTTAGAACCTATATAAATCCTTTCTTGATATCTGGAAGTGAATCATGGACAGCTGGTAGATAAGGGAAAAATTATTTGGAAGCTGCAGAGATGTGGACAGGTTAAGAGAGTAATGCGGATGTCTTGAAAGAAACAGACTCATGAAGAGCACTGATTGCCCACGTCAGAAAGAGACAAGAGCACTGATTGCCCACATCAGAAAGAGACAAGAGAACTGATTGTCCACAACAGAAAGAGACAAGAGCACTGATTGCCCACATCAGAAAGAGACAAGAGCACTGATTGCCCACATCAGAAAGAGACAAGAGAACTGATTGTCCACAACATTCTTTGGCTGTGTGATGAGAAGGAGAAAAATGGATTTCATCGTGGCAGTGCGAACGTTGAAGGGAAAGAGAGGCAGAGGGAGACCAAGAGAAAAGATGCTGGACAGTCTGACATCATGTCATAGAGGATCATCTGTGTCAGAGTTGATCGAAAGTACACGAGACAGAAAGTGGTGGATAGACAAGACTAACATCACCACACAGCACAGACTTTAAGAAGAAGAAAACATAATTTTGTTGTTCCTCGTGTGGGTTCCAGGTCCCTAATTTGAGGGAAGAAATGACCCGACCCACTGCCTTCCCTACTAGTATGTTGTACAAGGTGACTAGTTACTGATGTTTCCTTTGAAGCTGGACTGCACTTGCCTGCCATATGAGGAACCAACAGTATGCATTCAAGTAACAGATCTGTAAAATACATGTGCAAGCAAGGATCAAGTCCTGGAAAAAGACTTACGGGGAACCATGAAGGACCTGCTACTGACGTGCGAGTTCACAGGGGCAACCCACCTGATAGTCTGATCAGAGCATACAAAACTAAATGCCAAGAAGAATAAGAGGAAGGAAAAAGACTAAAATCCAGAAGTGGATGAACAACCAGGACTTTTTGCCACAGAATTACAACCGGTGAATGACAAGAAGAAGAGTATTATTTATGTTTGTGTTGCATTTTCTTTACTTCTTGTTTTCTAAGTTCTTTAATTCTTATTTCTTTGTTTGTTTCCAGTTAATCAGTATATTCCTGTTGCACCATTATCAATCACATAGGGTTTGTAGTCTAGCCCTTTCTTCCAATGTATCCTCATCGAATAAGACCAAATCAGCAGTCAAGCAAACATAAATTTTAACCACTTATATGGTTCCTAGGTGCATTCAGTCACTACTTTGCTTGGAAACCATTTATATGGTTTCTAGGTGCACTCAGTCACTACTTTGCTTGGAAACCATTTATATGGTTCCTAGGTGCATTCAGTCACTACTTTGCTTGGAAACCATATGGTTCCTAGGTGCATTCAGTCACTACTTTGCTTGGAAACCATTTATATGGTTCCTAGGTGCATTCAGTCACAACTTTGCTTGGAAACCATTTATATGGTTCCTAGGTGCATTCAGTCACTACTTTGCTTGCTAACCACTTATATGGTTCCTATGTGCATTCAGTCACTACTTTGCTTGGAAACCATTTATATGGTTCCTATGTGCATTCAGTCACTACTTTGCTTGGAAACCATTTATATGGTTCCTAGGTGCACTCAGTCACTACTTTGCTTAGAAACCATTTTTATGGTTCCTAGGTGCATTCAGTCACTACTTTGCTTGGTAACCATTTATATGGTTCCTAGGTGCACTCAGTCACTACTTTTCTTGGAAACCATTTATATGGTTCCTAGGTGCACTCAGTCACTACTTTGCTTGGTAACCATTTATATGGTTCCTAGGTGCACTCAGTCACTACTTTGCTTGGAAACCATTTATATGGTTCCTAGGTGCACTCAGTCACTACTTTGCTTGGAAACCATTTATATGGTTCCTATGTGCATTCAGTCACTACTTTGCTTGGTAACCACTTATATGGTTCCTAGGTCAATTCAGTCACTACTTTGCCTGGTAACCACTTATATGGTTCCTAGGTCAATTCAGTCACTACTTTGCCTGGTACCCATTTAAAGCTGAACTGACCTAGAAGCTAAAGTCGTGCCAAAAAAAAAAAAAAATTGACAGCAGCCTCAATCATAAACTCGGACTGACCTCTGATTGTGATTGGATAACTCCTCCAGGACATCACAAATAATCTTGCTGACCTCGTCCTGGGTCACATCCAACTCCTTCTTGCTATAGAAACCTGTTCCCAAAATACAGCCAGGACTCCCAGGTTTCTGTAGGAGGAATCAATACAAGAATGATGTCAAAGCATATGGAGGAAGGGGGGTGGGTCCTATGAGTGTGCCTGATGTGCTATGATGTTGATTCCTAAATCAGTAATGGCATGAGCCACTCTGAATTTTTTTTAAGGCCTAAGTTTAAACTGTTTAAACTTCCCTTCACAAATGTCTAAAACAGCTTTTTAAATCTGTAGTCTCCAACCTGGGGACAGTCAATTACAAGTATTGTTGAACAGCTACTGAGATGAGTTTATGGTGCGACACTGTGAGCTATAGATTTCATTTGGACTTTGTGTTTTTATTCTGTTGTACTAAAATGGCAAATGGCTGATAATATTCAGAATAGCATGTACATTTGCGGGTGCAATGCTGGTTGTTTGATTCACTGTCTGCACCAACGCTGAGGTGCAATTCTGGTGTGGGACCATTAGTGCTGGCATATCTGACAGCTGCCTAATGAATTTTTTATTTGCATGTGCAAGCTTCAAGATTATGTAAAGATTGACGCGTTTTTCATTAGTTTTCAAATGGATTGGTGAATGACATACTGAGTGACACAGGAAGAAAGTTTTTATGTAATGACCCATCTGCAGTGTTGTTGGAACATGACTGACTAACAAACTAACAAAGAAACTAGCTAATTAATAAACAAACACACAAATAAACTAACTAACTAATGAATGAACAAACTAACTTACTAACAAATGAACTAGTTAACGAACAAGCTAGCTAACTAACTAAAAAAAGAACGAACATGTGAACCAACTAATGAACAAACACAAAAAAAAAAAAAAACTAATAACTAACCAACTAACAAACAAATGAAGAAACAAACGAATGAACTAACTTTTACCTGTGAATAGCCAAAGAAACTTCTCTTGTGATCCAACCCGTCGGGACTGTCCATCCGTAAATCCTGAATGCCAGAATCTTGGGAGGTAAAGTCGTGCTTCTTCTTCATCTCATCGTAGGGCTCCAGCTTGCTGCTGATGCTGAGGCTCTGAATGTCCGCTGATGTCTTCTTGATGGAGTTGAAGATGTCTTCTGGGTTGAGGTTTTCTGTTTCAAAGCTGTCGGGGTGACCCTGGCTGGATCTGCAAAATGTCAAAATGATGTTTGGTGATGGGTGGGGATATATGATGCTATTGTTATCCGTATCAACATCCTAGCCTCCAGATCCATCTCCACTCGTGCTCCGTCCTCTGATGCAGCAAACGAGGGCTGCGTGGTCTCGAGGCATGGTGTCCGCCTCGGGTGCTGGAGTTCCAGGTTCAGGTAAAGGCTGGGATTTTTTTCATGTGAACTTCTAGTAATTTCCCCTGGTCTCTGGGAAGTGAGATCGGATGCCTGTGTGCACTGCTGCACATGTAAAAAAAAAATCCTCTGGTAGCTGGAAATTAAAAAAAATAACCTAATGCATCTGCACGGATCAAATTTGGAGTTCAGAAATCTACTCAAAGTATTCCAGGTTCCTCGGCTGTGCTACGGAGCATGTGCACTGCACTGAGATACTTCGGACTCAAGACTTGAGTTAGAAGTAGAACGCAGCACTTATGGGTTACTAACCGTGTGTCATGATGTTGATCTGTTGTTAAAACCTGATCAAACTAAAGGTTCTTTACTTAATTTTACTTTAAAAGCAGACTATCATGTCTTTAATCTAGCGCCACTGACAGGACGTCCCTGTAGGGTCCTGTGATCCATTTTCTTGGGGACAGAGGCGGGAGCGACAGAGTGATAGACCCACTGCCTCATTAAGTATTCATAAAACTGACTAATCAGATGTGTTTCCTTCAATGTCAGAGTGCATCTGTCTGATAGACCAAAAACCAACAACCTGCATATAAATAAGCCAGATCTGTAAAATGGATCTGCATGCAAAAGTCAAGTTTTAGAAGAAGGCCAAAGTCCAGAAGTAGATGAATAACCAGAACAAACTGACTGTTCCTTAGCAAAGCAAGTCATTAAAGGCGAGTAACGACCTGTAAAAATCAGATACGTTGCGGTGAAACGTGCAGATATTGCAGCCTAGCCTAGCTATCCTTATTAGGGCGAATGCAAAAGAATCCTGACAGATGAAACAGAAGACTGTGCAAATACTAACCGAGAAGGTGGCCGAGATCTGTTCTGACCAGGCGGGCTGGCCACATTTCGTGGAGACAAGACGTCTGTGGTCCCTTCACTTGCTGATCTGATGTGACTGTGGAGAATCCGTGTGGCACCATCCTATGAAAGATATAAAGAACATCAGAAAACTATAGTTAATACCAGAAATCAGGGCATTTTCTAAAATTAGAAAGAAGAAAAAAAACAGCCGGGACTCACCACACAGTGTCTTTAAAAAATGGTGTCAGTACTCTCAACTTAGTGTCTTTTACAGCAGCACTGAAAATAATGGTGCCAGTACTCACAACTCAGTGTCTTTTACAGCAGCACTGAAAAAATGATGCCAGTACTCACAACTCAGTGTCTTTTACAGCAGCACTGAAAAAAATGGTTCCAGTACTCTCAACTCAGTGTCTTTTACAGCAGCACTAAACAATGGTTCCAGTACTCACAACTCAGTGTCTTTTAAGGCAGCACTGAAAAAAATGATGCCTAGAAAAAGTGCTGGTACTACGCACCAGACTCTCCCCCCCCCCCCACCCCCCCCCCCCCAAAAAAAAAAACCTGCAAGAAACTACCTCACCATGATATGGAAGAGATAACCAATATCAGGAAACTACCTCACCATCATATGGAAGACATCACTAAAGCCAGAAAACTATTCAGAAATCTGAAATTCCTTTCAGGGAAAAAAAATAATACTGTTTTTAAAAGTGTTCATTTTACTGATCGACTGTCTAGAAATTGAACCCACATCACTTGGGACAGGTCTAGAATTGAACCCATGATGTCGATCTGCACACAATCCAGATCGGTCGTGTGCAACAGCTTTCCATGTTTCTGTTTGGGTGATGTTTATAACTAGTATGCTGCTAAAACAATTAGTATTTATGCTTAAATTTGCTGTCGGAGACGAATCATCTATGGGTATGCCCTGCCTCCTATGATGTCGATTTAAAAAAAAAAATGCAAACTTGAAACACTGACAATTCAACAAGTTTATCATTAGTTTATTATTGGACAATTTTTGAAAACTGACAAGAATAACATAGCCAAATTTGGAACACAGCCAAGACTGCCACAGTCAAACTCTGAACACTGACAAGATTACCACAATCAAACTCTGAACATTAAGAAGATAATCAAAGGTAAACTTTGAAAATGACCAAGATTACAATAACCAAACTTTGAACACTGACAAGATTATAACAGCCAAACAATGGCAAGATTAGCACAGCCAAACTTTGAACACTGGCATGATTAACACAGCTAAACACTGACAAGGTTAACACAGCCAAACTTTGAACACTGACAAGATTACTACAGTGAATTGTTGAGGACTGGCAAAATGAACATAGCCAAATTTGTAACATTTAATTAATAGCTGATAGGTATTTGAAAGATTATCCTCATTGCACATAGGACAAATCCATAAGCGCTCGGATCCCATCTTCAGTATATCCCCTAGTGTGTGGTGACTGTATTCACCAGTTCTGTGTTGGTTTACTAGTCTTCTTTGGCTACCTGTATAGTGTTCATGTTTGGTGACACCTCTTTTGACCTGAAGTTCTTGTAGTCTTTTGAGCGTTGCCGATTTAAGGTTGTCTCCTGAATCATCCTCACGTCCTGCCTCCTTGAGAGCACAAAGAATGTCGGCTTGGTCCACTGCTTTTCCTGTACCCACAGTGGCCTTGCCAGCAAGCCAATCCACCTATTCATTCCCTCTTACTCCAGAGTGTCCTAACACAAAAATAAAACTAATTCCTTTGAGACGAGATTTCCTCAGTGACTCCAACCATTTTCTTCTAATCCAACCTGTCTCAATCTTCTTAAGCATGCTCATGGAATCACTTAAAAAACATGCATGGGAAAACTGCTGCGTCTCTAGCCACATCAATGATTTTGTTACCGCTATCACCTCCATAGTCAAACTATTTGTAGTCGAGGCAAAAGCTATGCTTTCTTCTTTGACAGTTTCCCCTTGAACCAGAACTGTGAAAGCCCAAGAACTTTGTATGTGTCAAAAGATGGATCCGTCAATTGTAGATAGCTGTAATGCAGAATGAAGGGTTGCACTTCTGCCTCAAACATTTGATTACTTACCTGGAATGTTTTCGGCAGTTCAGACAACAGCACAGAGAATTCTGCTGGGTTCAGGTTGAACAGGGCTATCAATACTGACTGTGAGGCCTGTGAAGTTAAGGATCAACAACCATCATGAATTCGTGTATGGGTAATGGATAAGGGTGGTGTCCGTGGCTCAGGCGTTGCGAGTCTGACTCATAATTCCAACATAACGCAATCAAAACCCACAGAGGGTTGCGTGAATTTTTATCGTGGTATGGAGCGTCGCCGGTCGACCCATCCTAAAATCGGTATTATAATGTATGACCTGGGGAAATAAAGACAGCCGGCGTAATGCTGACCACATTATTCACCTAGTGCCGATTGGTCTGAAAAAATATGGGTGCTCTTTCCATATGCCTGATGCGCCTAAAAGGTATGAAAAGGTATCTTTACTTTTTCCCCCCTATTTTTTTAATGGATAAGGTGAATTTACACTGCAATAACCATAGTGCATGTTTGTATGGGTAATGGATGGGATGAATTTAAACAGTAAAAACTACACTGAATGTTTGTATAAGGTGTATTTACACAACAACAAATCCAAAGAGAGTGAATGTTTGTATGGGTAAAGGATAAGATGAATTTACACAGAAACAACCACAGTGAATGCTTATTAGGGCAAAGGTTAAATGAATTTACACAGTAACAACCCCAAAGAGAGTGAATGTTTGTATGGGTAAAGGATAAGATGAATTTACACAGCAACAGCCATAGTGAATGTTTTCTGGCTAAAAGTTAAGGTGAAGTTAAACAGAACAAATTTAGCAAGTCTTTCATGGGTAAAGGATAAGGTGAATATACACAGCAACAATCGCAGTGAATGTTTTATGGGTAAATTCAATCAATAAATCTGGTGGCACCTCCTTAATGAAGGTTGGCTGCAATGGATCGTCATCACATTGTCAAAATATATAAAAACGTTGATAAGGCCAGTCATTTTATATGGTTCTGAAACTTGGAGCACAACTAAAAGAGATGAAGTCCTATTACAGGTTTCTGAAAACAGTCTTACGACGAATCTTTGGAGCCATCAAAGATGCAAACAGTGGGCAATGGAGAGTGAGAAGCAACAACGAAATTCATAATCTGTTTAAATCACCATTGATAAGTGGCATCATGAGAGCTAATAGACTGAAATGGTTGGGGCATATTGAGAGAATGTCAGATGACAGAGAAGTGAAAACTGTATACACAAGGGAGATGAATGTCCGTAGACCACGATGGCCGTCGACCACGAAGCAGACCAAGTTGACGATGGAGAGATAACATCCAGACAGACCTGTAAACACTTAGTGTCACTAATTGGAAAGAGAAGGCCAACCAGAGAGATGAATGGAGGCGGGTGATATCTGCAGCAATGAACCTCAAGGGCTCGGAATGCTCAAGAAGAAGAAGAAGAAGAATCACAGTTTCAACCTCATAGCAAACATTGCTGCTCTGTTCCTAGGTCATCAACAACTACACTCACCACTGTCCTGTGTGGGGAAAAATGGATACAGACTGCAGTCTTGGCAAAGCCAATAGCACACACACCCAATAAAAGAATAAGGAAGCCGTCAGAAGTGCCAACACAAACAGTCCAGCAGCACTAGAAATGCAGTTCATCATGGACAAAAGCAGGAGTTACAATAGTTCAGTAGTTGGACACATAATTAATTGCGTAAAGCACCATATCTTCTCTCCCTCAAATTACCCTAATGATGTGTTGGCGGGAAAGAAACATAAGGATCTTCTTTCTAATGTGCTGTTCAAACTGACCTTCATTTTTTAAAGACTGATCAACAACGACTGGATCGCCCATTGGCTCGCTGGCAGACGACTTTTTCAATGGTCAGGACAGTATTTGGGTCTGCCTCTTTTGATCACATCAACAGAGCAGCAGTCCTTTTCAGGTCTCCTGGTGGCGTGCAATACTAAACCATTTTACATGGCGCACATAACCTAGTCACAATTATAAGCCAAAGCTCCCCCTTCTGCGATGCTGGTTGAACACAATGATTTTTTTTATAATTTCTGTTTCCAGCAAAGAACCTTTAAGGCTGGTATCAATACCATCATTCCATTGTTTGCGTGGTATTTCCCTTTCTATGTATTCATTAAATTTCTTCAACATGGCTTTCTGTGGCAGCTGGTACCCCTGTATTCTCGCCAGATGACCAAACCATCTGTTGCTCTTTACAATCTACAGACTATCAAAAATGGACATATACACATTCGTATGAACAAATTAATTTTATGTATCTGTTTTTTTTTTTTAACCTTTCTGACGTCCGCATTTCTTGGTTCCATTGTCCAACTGATGACCTTGGATACGGCCAGTCGAGCGTCCATGGAGTTGACAAAGTCGGATGGATCCATAGTCAGCAATAAACTGTGTAAATAGTTCAGTACGGCTACACGAATCTGCAGATGAAGAGAGAACCAAATCAATCAACCAGGTACGCTCTTCACAAATGAAGTTGGTTGCATTGGATCTATCTGTCTTATGGTCTACTTGTACACTCTCCCAGACTGCTCTTTGTCTATCTCTTAACATTTTCCAAGTGTCATTGAAGTTTTAAGTTTAATCAACAGATCAACATCATGGCACACGGGTAGTAACCATGTCCATTAAGTGCTCTGTTCTTCTAACTCAAGTCTGAGTCTGAAGAAGCTCAGCATAGTGCACAGGCTCTGTAGCACCCGCGAGGATCCTGAAGCACTGTGGGTAGATTTTTAACTCCAAATTTTGCCCGCGGAAAGAGTGTTAGGCTACTCTTTTCAATTCCCAACTGCCAAGGGATTTTGTATGTGCAGAACAATGCACACGGGCATCCAATTTCACTACCCAGAGACCAGGGGGATTTCTAGAAGTCCAAGTCCATGTGAAAAAATCCCAGCCCCTTATTGGGGATTAAATCTGGAACCTCTAGCACTCGAGGTGGACACCATGCCTCGAGACCACACAGCTCCCTAAGCCCCTGTCATTGGGACAAACTCAATAATGGTCAGTATTCATTACCTGTATTCACACGTGTCTCAGAGCTTCAACTGGCCAGACAAGACATGTGGATTTTTCTTGGAAAGACCTCAGATAAGTGATTGCATTCTTGTTTGTCAATGTGAAGCCTTTCTAGCCGCAACCTTTACCTGTTGTTTGTGACTGTCATAATGTGAAATTGACTAGTTCTACTTTTAGACTGGTTTGATATCTTTTCATGAAATGAAGAAATAAGAGAAATGTCTGAATATAAAGTGTAAACATAAAAGCAGTTATACATGCAGTTTATCTTATCACATATATACACAACTATAAAAGTACCTACCAAGCTATATACTTACAATAATTACATATTTTCAAACATATACGTGTTCACATACATATACACACACAGTCATGTACATTTATAACAACATTCTTCCGTACTATAAGCAATACATATAAAGAAGAAGAAGAAGAAGAAGTGGAGGAGGAGGAAGAAGCAGCAGCAGCAGCAGCAGCAGAAAAAGAAGAAGAAGAGGAGGTTGAGGAGTAGGAAGCACAGCAACGAAACTTTCCACGAGTAATGAATGTACCAGTCCCAAAACAAATGTAATTAATAACTTCCAAGGCTGGAAACTACAACAAATATACCACTGAAGAACAACAACAACTACAACAAACTATAGTCAACAGTAACTTGAAAAGTCAAAATAATAAAAGGAAACCTTACCCTTATGTTGGGTCCTTGAGACTGGTCTACAATAAATTTGGACAAATTGTTGAACTGTTGGTCAAATGGAAAACAGTCTCTGTGGAGCCAGAAATAAGGTGAAATCAACAAACATTGATAAATCAAAGCTATATTTGTGCCGCAGCTCATCAGCACAGCAGCGGTGGCTGCATGCTTGCCTGCTGGCTTAAGGGTCTTGAGTTCAAATTCACACTGGAAAAGATTTCTTTTTTTTTTTTTTTTTTTTTTTTCAATAATTGATCTTAGCACCCAGGTCACCCAGCCTAAAATGAGCCCCAGGGAAATATCCTGGGGAAAAAAGGTGGCCAGAGTAATGCCGATCATCAAGTTTTGACAGGTCGATAAAAAATATGTCTTGTACTGTGCTTTGTTCTGATACAATAACAAAGCCTTGGAGTGGTAACAAGAAAATCACCCATTAAATGCTAAATACAACATGAAATGAAAATAAAAAAGCTTTTTGAAGTGAATGGAAAAGACGAGTACACATACAACTAAATTTTTCAACCAAAAATATATTGTGTTTGTGTGCACCAGTTCCATCCACCCCCTTGAGCTTTTTTTTTTTTTAAATGTTGTATTTGTGTGCACGGGGAGGGGCCGTGGCGGAGCGGCTAGACACTCGCCACTGATCAGAAGGCCGTGGGTTTGTTCCCTGGCAGAGCCAGACTTTTTTCAAAAATGACCTTGGTTCCCAGGTCAAGCCAGCCTTGAGTGGGTACCGGGTGCAGTCCCGGGAAGTAAAGGTGGCCGGCGTGATGCTGACCACATCACCCATCTTGTGCCGATGGTCTATAAAAATATAGGTCTAGCCCTTTATACCCTTTACACCTAAAGGCGTGGAAAAAAAAGAGTCCTTTGCATTTTTTTTTTTTTACTTATTTGTTTGCACCTGTTCCATTCACCATCTTCAGCTTTTTTAAAATGTTGTATTTGTATGCACCTGTTCCATTCACCCTCTTGAGCTATTTTTTATTTTTGCATTAGTGTGCACCTGTTCCATTCACCATCTTGAGCTTTTTTATGTTGTATGTGTGTGCACCTGTTCCATTCACCATCTTGAGCTTTTTTTATGTTGTATTTGTGTGCACCTGTTCCATTCACCATCTTGAGCTTTTTTTATGTTGTATTTGTGTGCACGTGTTCCATTCACCATCTTGAGCTATTTTTATGTTGTATTTGTGTGCACCTGTTCCGTTCACTCTCTTGAGCTTTTTTTAAATGTTGTATTTGTGTGCACCTGTTCCATTCACCCTTTTGAGCTTTTTTTTTAATGTTGTATTTAGCACTTCTTGTCATCAACTTGACTGCAGTCTACCTACCCCCTGTTTACACAACAACCAACCTATGCCTAGCACTGGAAAGGCTACCATTTCCGGATGACATCCAGGGGCTAACAATACCTGATAACATCCAGGGGCTAACAATACCTGATAACATCCAGGGCCTTCTGAACCTTGTTGGCAACAGAGCCCAGCATCTCCCCGCCAGCCTTGGTCAGCAGCCTGGGAAGCAAGATGTGCAGCCAGTCCACCAGGTCGGCGCTCTGCAGGTAGACCAGCTCTATGAGTGTGTCGAGGAATATGGTGAACACCTGCATGTCATAAATAACGAATGCCTGCATCAGCATGAGCAGCATACACCACCAAGTCATCACACAAACACACAAGTCCAAGCCTAATCATCTGAGCATTTTCAGTGGATGTTTAATTTCACATTGAGAAGGTAATTGGGAAACTCCTTTGTTAAAAAAACAAAATAAAAACCATTGAAAATGAGGGGTGTCACATGGGCTGGGTTTGAAGACACTAGTTTCTAAAGAGTCTCTAGAGAGTCTCTAAAGCAATCGGGGCTGACAAAGATCAATTTCATATTCAGGTCTCCCTCGAAGTCGGAGTACATCTGCCGGAGAGGCGGGGAACGAGAACTGCAAACAAATAAGCCAGTAAAACGGATGTACACGCAAAACTCAGGTCAAGGTAAAAGCCAAAAGTCCATTTGGACGAACAACCGCGACTTACCGCCGGAATTCACAGCCGGTGAACAAGAAGAAGAAGAAGAAAGAAGAATATTCAGGTCAGGGCATGCAGGCGTGCTAGAAATAGAGCAAGCTGATAGGTTTGCAGGTAAAGCTTCTGCGGAGGGAGGACGAGTCATGGACCAGGCCTACATTACAAATCACCTAGGTGAAGTAAGACGTTTGCGAGAAGCAACTGATGACTGTGAATGTGCAACTAGGACCAGACTGCAAGAACAACATGTTGAAAAAGGTGTGGCCAGACAAGAGCCCTATGCATGAAAACGAAGAAAAATAAGAAAGAAACACAGAATGGGTGTCATCAGCCACTACCTTCTGCAGGATTGACTGGGGAAAGGATCTCAGCACTCATGGGCTCAATGGTTTGATGTGCAGTGGGAAAGGATCCCAGCACTCATGGGCTCAATAGTTTGATGGGCAGTGGGAAAGGATACCAGCACTCATGGGCTCAATGGTTTGATGGGCAGTGGGAAAGGATCTCAGCACTCATGGGCTCAATGGTTTGATGTGCAGTGGGAAAGGATCCCAGCACTCATGGGCTCAATGGTTTGATGGGCAGTGGGAAAGGATCCCAGCACTCATGGGCTCAATGGTTTGATGGGCAGTGGGAAAGGATCTCAGCACTCATGGGCTCAATGGTTTGATGGGCAGTGGGAAAGGATCCCAGCACTCATGGGCTCAATGGTTTGATGGGCAGTGGGAAAGGATCCCAGCACTCATGGGCTCAATGGTTTGCAGTGAGGAAGATCTGTTGACTATCTAACTGACAGATCTGGTAACACGTTTTCCATAAAAAAAGTGGAATTTCTAGCTACGAAGGTCATAGCTGCAGAAACACTCCTAATGGACGAAGAAGATATTCTGAAGACCATTTGTGAAGAATGGTCATATAAGACATGAGATTAGATGAAATAACATGTGCAAGAATATGTAAATGTGAAATCAGCTGTGGATCCAGCAATGATAGCCTGACTGATAAACATGAAGGATAGCTAATCATAGACACATCTTAATTTGTAAACCTGACCAATCACAAATGATACCCTGACCAGTAAACATGAAGGATAGCCAATCACAGACAACATCTTAATTTGTAAACCTGACAATTAGCCAATCACAAATTATACCCTGAACACTACAATAAAGGGTAGCCAATGACACACAACATGTTAACTGGTAAACATGAAAGTTAGCCAATCAGAAAAGATAATTTGACCGGTACACATGAAGGATAGCCAATGACACACAACATGTTGAATGGTAAACATTAAAATTAACCAATCACAGATTATACCTTGACAGGCACACATGATGGACAGCCAATCACACGCAAAACGTTAATTGGTAAAAAACAAAAATTAGCCAGTCACAAGCAACACATTATTCGATAGATATGAAAACTAGCCAAAGATGGTGTACTGCTTGGCAGAGGCAAATTTAAGAAAATGCTCTTGATAATTAACTTGTGTTTCAGAAAATCTATAACCTAAAAAAAAATAAAAAAATTTATAAATCAATTTTGACTTTTAAAACAGAGACAACTTTGAACAGTTTTGACTTTTAAAACACAGACAACTTTGAAAAAGTATGTGAATATAAAAAGACCCTTTTCCCACCTTCAGGTGTACTGGGCATATAAGGCTAGACCTATATATTTGATAGACCAACTGGCACTTGGTGGGTGATGTGGTCAGCATCACCCCGACCGTCTTTACTACAGAGCAGGACCTGGTACCCATTTTAGTCTGCCTTAACCTGGGAGCCAAGGTCATTTTGGGGAGATGTTGAACCTATGACCTTCGGATCTGCAGGCAGGCATCTAGCCACTACACCACAGTGGCTTCCACTACTATGGATGTTCTTCTATGTTATAATGCAAAAACCATTCAGCATTCTCACTCTTGGTCTCTCCCTGCCTCTCTTCTGCTTCAGTCTTCCTCCTGTCTTGCTGTGTTAGAAAAATATGGACTGCATAACTTCTAATGTCAGTGTAGCCTTACCTGCTCTACAAGTAAATTGCTTTCGAGACATTTTCTTTTTTCTTTTGTCAATATCTGCTTATGCAGCTAGGCGTCACAGTTAATGAGATGATCGGCTGTACAGCCAGGACAGGCCCAGTCGCTTAGTATGCTGTGATGTGATGCAAGGCTCCAGGTGTTAGTGACTCCTTCGATCCATCTTCTTCTTGGTCTTCCCCTGCCTTTCGGTGTTTCGATTTTCAGGTTGTACGCTCTTGCTGCTGGCATCGTTGGATTCATTCTCATTAGATGGTCGAACCATTTCATTCTTTGTTTCTCAATAAATTTGACATTTTCATTATTTTTTTTTTTAAAAGAATTTTTTTTAAAGCAGAACACACAAAAACAAAGTGGTTGTACAAAACCAAGACCTTCCATTCAGTAAATGTAAAGACAAGAGGAGGTGTCTCACCTAAACCAAGACTTTCTATTCAGTAAATGTAAAGACAAGAGGAGGTGTCTCAGCTAAACCAAGACTTTCCATTCAGTGAATGTAAAGACAAGAGGAGGTGTCTCAGCTAAACCAAGACTTTCCATTCAGTAAATGTAAAGACAAGAGGAGGTGTCTCAGCTAAACCAAAACCTTTCATTCAGTAAATGTAAAGACAAGAGGAGGTGTCTCAGCTAAGCCAAGACCTTCAATTCAGTAAATGTAAAGACAAGAGGAGGTGTCTCAGCTAAACCAAAACCTTCCATTCAGTAAATGTAAAGACAAGAGGAGGTGTCTCAGCTAAACCAAGACCTTCCATTCAGTAAATGTAAGGACAAGAGGAGGTGTCTCAGCTAAACCAAAACCTTCCATTCAGTAAATGTAAAGACAAGAGGGGGGTGTCTCAGCTAATCCAGGAACTTCCATTCAGTGAATGTAAAGACTAGACGAGGTGTCTCAGCTAAACCAAGACCTTTCATTCAGTGTTGACAAGATACAGTGTTTATGCTAGTGAAAGAATATAATAAACCTTCTTCGTCTTCTTCTCTGTTCACTGGCTGTAAGCTCCGGTGGAAAGTCCTGGTTGTTCATCCATGTGGAGTTTGGCTATGTCACAGGGCCTGAGTTTTCCGTGTACACTGGCTCACTGTGTGCAGTCTGTTGTTGCTTGCCTCTCAGGCAGATGCACTTCAAATTCAAAGGAAGCTTCCAATTAGTCAACTCTTACAACAGGCTTGTTGTTGAAGGTAGTGGGTCTATTCTTGTTTTCCCTACAAAGGGCCCCACAACCCACATGGGTAATAATATAACACACACACACATGCACGCACGCACGCACATACAGACACACACACACACATGCACGCACGCACGCACATACAGACACACACACACACAGAAACACATAATGAAGAAATAAAAATGTGTCTTAGACACAGACAGACTACTCACTTTACTATGAGGATCATGGAACATTCTAGTAAACATTTCAGAAACTTTCTTTAGTTCCGCCCGGCTATGGACACAGAGAATTGAAAACAAGATGTTATATTGTAACAATGCAAAAGTCAAACTGAAATATATTTAGTTTATTTACAAACAACCTCTTTCAAAAACAAAACAAAAAACTTTTATTTAAAAAAAACAACAACTCCAAAAACTATATCTTCTTCCTCTTCTTCAACATTCTGAGCCCTTGAAGTTCATTGTTGCAATCACCCGCCTCCATTCATCTCTCTGGTTGGCTTTCTATTTCCAGTTGGTAACACCCAGTGTTTGCAGGTATCTCTAAAAATTATCTCTCCATCGTCTTCTTGGTCTGCCTCGTGGTCTACGACCATTCATCTCCCTTGTGTATACAGTTTTTACCTCTCTGTCATCTGACATTTCAATATGCCCCAGCCATTACAACTTATTAGCTCAAATTATGCCAATGATCAATAGTGATTTAAACAGATTATAAATTTCATTGTTACTTCTCGCTCTCCATTACAAAAACTATATAGTTACCTTAAACATCTATTGCTGCGTAGTAAATGCTGAAGGGACAAGAGACCTTCCTTCCGGTCTAGATGTGAGGAGCTGCCCAGCTGTGCGATTATAGATCCCAGGTCCTGAGAAGATACAAGAGTTTATTTGCTCATGCATTCAACAATTCACATTCTTTATTGTTCTTTATCTATGGCACAATACAACACAGAATAGTTTACAATACACAAATTGTTACTGTGTGCTGATGAAGGCTTTCTAGCTGTAACGTTCATTCAGTTGTTCGTGACTGTGGTACTGTGAAGCAGATTAGTTTTATTTCTTATTTGGACTGATATTTTCAGGAGAGTATCTGGCACTGGCTGGAAAGGCTTCATCTGGCAGATCTAGCTTTTTCTTCTTCTCAACCCCCCAAGTTCTATTCTGCCTTTATGTGTCAGGTTTTGAAGAGGCATCACATGCAAGCCTTGTTATCTGCTACATGGATGCTAGTATTTATAGCCTCTGATATCCCATCTATCCATCAGTTGCCTGGTCATCCTCTAGCTCTGCTTCCATTACGTCTAAGTGACAGGGTTCTCTGTAGTGTACTCTCTCTGGTGGTAGTCTTCAAACATGACCAAACCATTTTATATGTTATCTCTGGACGTAATTTAGTAATGGCTCTATTCCAATTCTTTCCTGATATCATTTCTGATCTCGTCTCTTCTAGTTAAATTCATAGATTTGTTGTATGCATTTTATTTCTGTTGTTATTTTTCTTTTGAATTTGTTCTCTTTGTTGTTAATGCCCAAAGATGTACTCATACCACAACATTAATAAAGAAACTGGGTGACAGAAAGATGAACAAGTTTTACATCTCAAGAACTAAATTGATGACAGAGAAAGAGGCAAACAACTTTATCTCAACTTGCTTCTTATATTGTCATTTCTGATTATGCCACTTCTAGTTGCATTTAAGATTCGTCGTAGATATTTCATTTCTGTTGTTTCTGTTTTTCTGGCAAGTGAAAAATGGGGTGCTTTGGTTGTTAGTTATGTATTTCAATTTTGTTGGTTTCTTGAAAACGTAAACCAAACCATGAAACTATCAAGACTTATCGGCCACCAGGTAAGTGCATAGTCAAAGATCTTTTGTGTCAGTTTTTTTTTCTCTCTGTATGTTATCTGTCATTCTTTCTACACGCCCCCTCAGGTTGCCAGGAATTTGTGGTCATTTAAAAAAGAGCATGAATTTTCCTGAAAACTGCCAGGTTGGCTTACAAATATTACTAGCTCCATTTACAGAAGCTTTCAACCATTAAAGACAAAAATTAAATTTAGAGGAAAAAAACCATGAAAAATTCATGAAATGAGTGCAAATATGATATCAGAGTACGCTTGATGTGAAGAAAATAAAGTGCATCTTAATTTTGCATGTGAAAATTCAGTCAGCTGTGTAAATGTGATCAAGCTTTATAGGGAAAGAAGCAGAATTTACCAATAGTGAAACTTCATATACTTTCCCTTTTCCATGCCCTTATGTGTCTTGGGTACATAGTGTAAAAAACCATTTTCCATACTTTTAGGGGTATGGGCATACAGTGCTTGACCTATGTTTTATAGACCAATTGGCAGTCAGTGGGTGACGTGGTCAAAATCCTGCCATCCGCCTTTACTTCCCAGAACTGTGTCTGGTAATTATTTAAGACCGGAAGCCAAGGACATAAGTGTAAAAAGTCCGGAGAAGAACGTGTGACTTTTGATTCTGCAGACCGCTCCCGTAGTATATAGTAAAGGACCCTTTTCCGAGGGTTTAGGCATATTGGGCACATAAGGCTAGACTTATATTTTATAGACCAACTGGCACTCGTTGTGGGTGAGGATGTGGTCGGCATCACACCGGTTGATTTTAATTTCCGAAGACTTTACCTGGTACCCATTTCACATTGAGCCGACCCGTAAGGCAAAAATTTTTTTTGCAAAAATTAGGCTCGATGTCGATTTGAATCCATGATCATCAGGTCCACAGTCAAGTGTTAAGCCACTGCCGGATGGCAAGTTAATATAACATCTCAATAAATGATATTCTTGACAGACGCTGCCACTTTTCCTCGGTAGCTCCACAAGTAAAAATGGCTGATCATGAATGTTGTTATTTTGATTAATCAAATGACCTGTGCCCTATGAAATGTTCCTGTCTGGCAGATCTCGGTCGCACACCAATGTCCACAAACTTGGACAGAGATACAGAGTCATGTCTGTTGCTGCAGTCGTCTTTGTGACATGTATCCAGCAAAGCATTGAGAACATCGCTTCAGTTCATGCCTGGACCGATATTATATTTTTTTCAAGTGTCTGCCTGATCTTTTTCTATTTCTTCACATTCATCAGCTGTAAACTCCGGCGGGAATTTCTGGTTGTTCATCCACCTGTGGACTTTAGTCTTGTTCCAGAACCTGAGTGTTGCGTGCACAGATCTGACATATTTGTAAGCAGACTGTTGGTTCCTTGCCTCTCAGGTAGATGGACTCCGACCTGGAAGGAAACCCCCAATTGGTGGATTCTTACAATATCCTTGTTGGGGAGACAGTGGGTCTATTGGTTGTCTCCGCAATGAGGCCCTGGCACAAAGATGAAGGTTAAATGCTCCATCCCCATGCAGTGAGTTAGCAAACTGGTGCTACTGCATCAGACTGATGGTCAAATTCCATTGGAGTCAGAGTGCATCTGCCTGAGACATGAGAAACCAACAAACTGCAAACCAATAAGCCAGATCTGTAAAATGGATGTGCATGCTGAATTCAGGTTCTGAAACAAGACTAAAGTCTAGAAGTGCAAGAACGACCAGAACTTTCTGCTTCAGTTTACAGAGATGGCGAATGTGAAGAAGATGATGATCACTGTACTGCAGAATTTAGATCTAGACAAAGATTCACCCCAGCAGCAACAGAAGCACTTGGAAGATAGAAAAAATATTCAAATGTAGTGAGAAGTATTCAAAGTGCTAAATAGAACCTATACTGTTTTATGCATGAAAAATATGGACAATAAGCAGACAAGCTTAAAAAAGGACCACGGCTCCCAGGTCGACCCAGCCTAAAATGGGTACCAGATAAAGTCCTAGGAAGTAAAGGCGGCTGGCGTGATACTGACCACATCATCCGCACAGGGCCAAGTGGTCTATAAAAATGAGTTTAGCATCATATATCTCATGCATCAATGGGCGTAAAAAAATGTCTTTTTCTTTATCAGCTGAGAAACATTTAAAAAAACGAAAATATGGCTTCTGAGGAAAAAGAATGAACATCGCGGACGCACTGAAATTTTAATAAGTTTATGAACCAGACAGATTTTTTTATTGTTCCTGTGGCTTTTGGATAAAGGTGCGACAGTATCACATCACTGTGAAAGAAATTGGGAGCCACACCAGGTAATATTCAGCAGCTGGTCAACTGCAGCTAGCCACACTGTGGAGATACAACTTACATGGGAAATTTGTTACGGTTGTGCAATTATATGTCACATAAAGCTCAAAGTCCCTTCCTCCACTCCGATCTATCCTGTGCGACCAGTTCGTCATCATGGATGGAGTTCAGTCCAGCAGCTTTGGCCTCCTCTCTCGTCAGCGTTCACCTTAGGGTTTCTCATGTGCATCCTTGCTTCCTCAATCCCTTTGTTTCCCATTTCAGAGCCTGTCTGGCGGTTCTCTGCTGGTTTCTTCTCAAGTTGTGCCCACTACAGAGCCAACTTTCCATCTTCTGTTGTTAGCAGTGGTTGACTAAACAATTCTCTTATTTCTTCACCCAAAGGGATATCTGTACGATATCAAGAATGGTTTAGGTTTAAACAACGTATCAACATCATGGCACACCTGGTGGAACCCATAAGTGTTCCGTTCTACTTCTAACTCAAGATTGAGTCTGAAAAATCTCAGCGCAGTGCATAAGCTCCATAGCGAGGATCCTGAAAAAAAAAACGTTGGGTAGATTTGTAACTCAAAATTTGCCCGGGCAGCACCGTTAGGCTACTCTTTTTGATTTCCAAAAGTCAAGGGATTTTTTTAACATGCGCAACATAGTGCCCAAGTACATGAAAAGAACACTTGTATCAAAGTAAGGCAGTGAATATTCTAAAGAGAACAAAATCTGGATACATAGAAAGTATCAATACCAAAAAAAAAAAAAAAAAAAAACAGGCACCTAAAAGCTTGCAATGGTTATATAAAACAGGCAGGTGTCAAAATGATGCGTGTGTGAGTGTGTGATACATGTGAATATTTTATCAGAAGCCGAAACCGGTTTGTAAATATCCTGAGGCAAAAATCAGAGGCTAACAATCACCTCAGTGATCCCAGAACTTGATGAATACGATCTCATTCGTCTCCACAACTGCGAGTAATTCAGAGAAAAGTCAGTTACGATTTGTAGGCTTTTGCCAGAATGAACATGACTTTTCAAATTGTGTATGCATTTTCACATGTTTTATGTAGTTTTACATTATTTGTGTATTTTCACGTGTATTCTAAACAATTCCATCGATACATTATTTGTGCCCAACTTACTCGATTTAAAAAAATCACAAACGTAATATCAACAGTTGTGAGATGAGACGGCTAAGGAATTTAGGGCCACCCTAAACTCAGAGAACTAAACTGTATACTATTTAATGTCTGTGTTCTGATTAAAAACTGAGTGAGAAACAATAGTAGCAGTCAGTAACCATAGATTAAAAAAAAAAACTGGTCTGAGGAAATGAAGGTATTAAAGAGAAACCTTATGACAAACATTACTGAGAGAGGCCAAAGATGCCCCAGTGCCCTACCTGAGAAGCCCATTCACAGAACAAGATATATCACCATTTCAACTACACACAAAATATTTGTGTATAAAGCTTACAGCCTCGATTCCCCCACCCCACCCCCAACAAGCACGTCCTAGAGACTTAACTAGTGGTGTTCCCTTCAATGTCGAAATGCATCTACCTGAGATGTAAGGAACTAACAGTCTGCAAACAAATAAACATATGGACATCTAAACAGAATACAGCCACAACACTTCCCAGAGTGCCAGCTATGTAACTACCCCTAAGAAACTTGACCATCATCTCATTAGAGTGCCGGAAACTCAGTGAGACTAGAAGAATGCTACTCCCTCTGAGACCAGACAAGTGGAACACCTTGTATGGAGGAAAAGAACAGCTTGTGAAAACATGTAAATTCCACCACATGGCATTGGGTCAAAGGTCATGCACCGCTGGATCCACAGCAACAACAACTCTGTGTGGGTCCGAGGTTCCATTTTTAGGGAAAAAAAAAAAAAGAACAGACCCACTGGCCCTTAACAAGCATGTTGCAAAAGACAACTAATAAGGGTTGCTTCCTACCAAGTCAGAGTGCATCTGCCTGGGAGCTGAGGAACCAACAGTCTGCATATACATATATTTACAATCCCCACCCCTGTTGCCCTTCCACTGTATGAGTTATGTAGACTGCTCGGAAAACATACATATATTTACAATCCCTGCCACTGTATGAGTTGCGTAGACTACTCGGAACATAAAACATATATTTACAGTCCCCACCCCTGCTGCCCTACCACTGCAGAAGTTATGTAGAATGCCTGGAACACAAACATATATTTACAATTCCTACCTCAATTGCCCTCCCACTGTAAGAATTATGTGACCGCTCAGAACACACACTTGAGGTTTCACTGGCTGCATCATCTGAATCGTACTGATCAAATCGTTTCTGCTGTTCAACTTTGACCTAGGAAACAGTTAGTCAAAACAATGTTAGAAAAAGACAAAGACATAAGTGAATGTAGTATATAACTTTGGTGTGTGGGTGCCTGAAACTGATTTTAGGGGATTTAAAAAAAAAAAAAAAAACTACCTCCTATAAAAGAATTAGTTGCCTATCCTGTGCAAGTGGTTGCAAACCAACCCCACCAACTGCTACTTTGTAGTTTTTCTAGGCAACTTTATGTTAAGAAGTTTGCTACTGCTTTCCATTAAGTACAACGCAATGTAGTATGATACCCATTGCAAGGGCCAAAGCTCATGCGCCGCTGGATGTATGCTCATTGCAAAACAAAATTAAGCTGTATATACTTCGCAGGACATTGCAGAGCCAACCCTTATATGTATTGGTTCTTTAGTTTTACAAAACTGTCTGCTGCCAAACTGCTCGCAGCTGGAATCGAACCAGAATCTCTGAGTTAAGGAGTGTGTTTGCCATGCTTGAGCCACAGATTCAATTACAAACATGTTACAAAAGGCAACTAACTGAGGGCTAGCTGAGATCGGACCTGTAAGGCCAACTAGTGCAGATATTGCAGCCTAGCTGTAAACCTCAACACGATGTTGCTAACTAACTAGTTAAAGTGAGAACAGAAGAAGATCTGTAGCAGAACAGGGCATACAAGAAGGGACTGTCAAACAGCCTGCTATGTGCCTCATCACCCCGGTGAATTGTGGAGAGCTAGAACATTAAGTTTAGTAGTTTTCAGTTTAGGAGGAGGCAAAGGGTAGACCCACTGCCCCTCTAACAAGCACGCTGTAAAAGCAACTAATCAGGAATGTTTCCTTCCAAGCCAGAGTGCATTTACCGGAGAGGCCAGAGAACTAACAGTCTACATACAAATAAGCCAGATCTGTAAAATGGTTGTGCATACAAAACTTAAGTTGTAGAACAAGACTACTCAAGTCTAGAAACAGACGAACAAGCAAAACTTTCCATCAGAGCTTAAGCTAGTGAATGTGAAAAAGTATACTCTTCAAGACTGCCAGACAGTGAGGACTAGACAAGTCATTGAGATGTAGGAACCTCGGACAGAAATTAGGTGTCAATTATAGCAATTCATCTGAACACTTAATCTTCTTATGTAGACATTTAACCAACGGTACAAGACATCTGACTGATCAATATAAAATAGCCGCCCTCATCGTCGTGGTGCTACCACTGCTGAGGATGAGGATGATGAAGAAGAAGCAGAAGAAGGAGGAGGAGGAGAACAAGAAGAAAGAAGAAGACAATGAAGAAGAGGAAGGAGGAGGAGAGGTAGCTGAAAAAAGAAGAAGGAGAAAGACACCACAAGATACAACAGGACTAAGATGCGATTACTACAACACTCACCAAAGCATTCTGTAACGCATCCTCCACATCGGATCCGTGCCTCAGCAGCCTCTGTGATAAAACTGGTGCTGAAATAAGGGCACAGATAGTATGTAAGACAACAGTATTTCAGGTAGCACCATTTAAGCCACTGAACTTGGTATAAATCAAACCAGACTATAATTATAAATGATGCTTGCTTTAGCCGGGCTGAAAGTGGTGAAAAATTGTTTCCAACAATATATGCACAAACTACAGATAGCTCTAAAATATACAGTTTGTAAACCAAGTTATATATTTTCAATTCTAATATTATTTTAGTTTTTACACATGCCAGAGAAAGTTGGAAAACCACTAAACACATGGAAAATATGTTAAATGCATATAATATAATGGCAAAACAGATGATGATGATTTATTATTTTTACAAAGGGACTTACATGAAAACCTTAAAAGTATGATAGAAATAACAGTGGTCCTATAATGGCAAAACAGATGATTTTATATTTTTTACAAAAGCCTTGTCCTGTAATGTAGCCTGTTAAAAACTGTCTAATGTGCTAATGTGGCAGTGCTTGTGATGGTATTTGATCTTGCTGAATTCTAACGAGATGGCCAAACCATTTGATGTTAGGTAATGTTCATATACTGACCTCCTGAACATTTGCTCAGGTGCAAACTCAGCCAATAGCGTTTACTGTGCGTCTTGTAAACAGGTCACTAGACATTTAGGAAAAGTGACGTTTATGAGGTATGGGATCTGACAGGAAATGTCCGTTTGTCAGCTTATCTGGGTGCAAGGGATGAACAGTCAGGGACTGAGCCCTGCTCATGTCTCCTTTTTAACGCACTCTCTTGGCAGCCCCATTTTGCCTATGTGACCAGAACACATTAAAAAACAAAACACACACACACATATATAAACAACACAATGTTGGTCCATGTGAAAAAATACCCATACACACACAAACAACACAATGCTGGTAGATCCTTGTTAGAATATACACAACAAAGAAGATAATGCCAGCTGGTTTGTGTAACTATAATACATAAAATAAACAAGGCATAGCACTCTTAGTTACACACAACAGCCTCTGCAAGTTATTTCCCTTACTTTTTCTGCCGCTGGGTAATTTGCTGCTGCTGCCGCTCAATCTTCTTTCACTCTGGCCTGCACAAAGAAAAAACAACCCTAGTTAATCACAAAACACAATCAGCAGATTCAAGGCGATGGTACTGGGCTATCTTCTTCTTTTTCCGTAAAGTGTCACAGACAGGAGAATATAGTTTCCTTACTTGTGCTAGTTGTGTAGCTTGTTAATGTCATACTGCATTTCTGTTGTGTCTCTCTTATTTCCTCCACCAATCTTGTCTTGCTACTAGTACCCTTACATCCTTTTTAGGACGTAATTTTTTGTTATTTGAAGCCCCACTCTGGCTTTTGCCAATAGTCAGGCCATCAATATGGCCAATTGTCTGAACGCGGTTTCTGGGACCTCTCCACAGTGATCCTCATCCACATGGTGGCACTTTGTGTCATCGGGTGTTAATCGCTTGTGTGATGTCCTGGTGGGGTAAAAAGTCAGTCAGTCAGTCAGTCAGTCCACCCATCTCTTTCCTGGTTGGCCTCCTAACTTGTGGCCCAGTTTTCGCATGTAGTACGCTCCAGCTGCTGGCTGATTTTGTTCCATTCTGAACAGATGACCAAACCATTTCATTCTTTGATATTCTAGGACATCATTAACCAGTACAGTGCCTATTATTTTTATTCTTAGTTCTTCACTAGTTACTCTGTCACTTCTTGGTTTTCCTGACACATTTCTTATACATCTCATCTCACATGTAATTTAGCATTTGTTTTTCTAGAACTGTCCATGTCTGCAACTGACAGAACAAAGACGGTACTGCCATACCAAGAGCACAGACCTCATGAGAACTGTAACAGTTATTAACAGAATGGAGGAACAGATTATGTGACATACAATAAAGACTGGGACAACAACATCAGACACTCTGAGAAGTCTGGGAATAAGAGGTTATAGACAAACAAATAATCTTTATTTTCAAAATGTTGTTAAGGTGAAAAAAAAACAGGTTGCCCCATTTTCTATGTCATGACCTAGAAATATGTAAAGGCCTAACCCTCTCACACCCCACTGGCAGTATTTACTATGGAACTACTTTCATCTTCAGAGTCGCTAGTTTTATCTTCAGGCAAACACTGACCAAAGTTGATTATTCCCATCAAACACTGACCAAAGCTGATCTTTCCCATCAGACAAATACTGACCAAAGCTGATCTTTCCCATCAGACAAATACTGACCAAAGCTGATCTTTCCCATCAGACAAATACTGACCAAAGTTGATCTTTCCCATCAGACAAATACTGACCAAATTGATCTTTCCCATCAGACAAATACTGACCAAAGTTGATCTTTCCCATCAGACAAATACTGACCAAAGCTGATCTTTCCTATCAGACAAACACTGACGAAAGTTGATCTTTCCCATCAGACAAATACTGACCAAAGCAGATTTTTCCTATCAGACAAACACTGACCAAAGCTGATCTTTCCTATCAGACAAACACTGACCAAAGCTGATCTTTCCTATCAGACAAACACTGACCAAAGTTGATCTTTCCTATCAGACAAACCCTGACCAAAGCAGATCTTTCCTATCAGACAAATACTGACAAAAGCTGATCTTTCCTATCAGACAAATACTGACAAAAGTTGATCTTTCCCATCAGACAAACACTGACCAAAGCTGATCTTTCCCATCAGACAAACACTGACCAAAGCAGATCTTTCCCATCAGACAAATACTGACCAAAGCAGATCTTTCCCATCAGACAAACACTGACCATAGCTGATCTTTCCCATCAGACAAACACTGACCAAAGCAGATTTTTCCCATCAGACAAACACTGACCAAAGTTGATCTTTCCTATCAGACAAACACTGACCAAAGCTGATCTTTCCTATCAGACAAACACTGACCAAAGCAGATTTTCCCCATCAGACAAATACTGACAAAAGCAGATTTTCCCCATCAGACAAATACTGACAAAAGTTGATATTTCAACAAAAGTTGATTTTTCAAAGACACACACTGACAAAGTAGATTTTCCCCAGATACAAACATTGACCGAAGCTGATTTTTCCCAGACACACATCATTGACCAAAGTTGATTTTCCCTGAACATTGCTGACTTAACCCCCCCACTCAGACATACACTGGCCGGTCAGTTTTTCCTAGACGTACAGTGACTGAAGCTGATTTTTTCCCCCCAGACAAACATAGGCTAAAGCTGGTTTTTTCCCCATTTAACAATGACAAAAGCTGCCCCCCCCCCCCAATCAGTCATACGATAACAAATAAAAAAAAACGGACTTTTCCCAAATCACACATAAAATATTTTAAATAGTGGACTTTCCCCTAATCAGAGATACATTTACTTTTCCATCAGAAATACGCTGGGAAAAGCTGACTTTACTCCATAAGACCTACCTTTAAAACTCCTCGCAGGGCTACCCTCTCGGCTGGCACCCTGGCTATGTGACCCTGGTATCCGCGTCTGCCTAGAATTCAAACCGGTGTCAATCCTTGAAGGCGTGTTTCTGCCGAACATGGGCTGCCGCCTGGCAGAAGATGGGGAATTTGAACGGCTGTTGGCTGCAAAACCACACACAAAACGGCACAGTGAGCGACAAAACTTGTAAGATAAAACACATCAATCTCAAATATCAACATTAGCCCAATGGCAGCAACTGACTTTTATAACAAGAAAATGAAACTTATAAACAGAGTTTACAGCCGGTGAACCAAAGGTACTGTATTACTATCACTTGGAGTAAACAAGACAGGCTGAGTAAAGGGAGCATGATGCAAAGGCAACATATCGTCTCTACACAACTGCTCAGGCTATGGAGAAAAGGAACTTTATCTCTGCCCCTAACTGGTCTTGGAGACTTTTCTTAACACTTGCAGGTCTTGCAGGTCACATTTGCCATTGGCTGCGAGTCCCATGCCTTCCCATAGCACAATAGAACTCTGTCGTCTGGGAAGGTGCCAACAAAACAATACTTAGGGATGACATGTTTTTTATTTTGTCCCAAATTACTCCAGTTTTTCCCATTCTTAGGAGTTTCTCAGAAAATGTTGAGTGCCTTTTTCTCATGTGACAAACTAGCCTTCTAGATGTGACAAACCAGACTTCTAGATGTGACAAACCAGCCTTCTAGATGTGACAAACCAGCCTTCTAGATGTGACAAACCAGCCTTCTAGATGTGACAAACCAGCCTTCTAGATGTGACAAACCAGCCTTCTAGATGTGACAAACCAGCCTTCTAGATATGACAAACCAGCTTCTACCAGGACAAATTCACTGGGCTTATCTTTAAATGGCCTTCTCATTCTTCTTCAATAACACCACATCTCAATACTTCTACATTATTAATCAGCAGGTTCTTCACAGAATGTAGCTCCCATCCCAGCACACCTGAAAGTCTCTCTTTCTCTAGCTAGTTCTCCAGCTCTGTTTGCTCTCAAAACCAATGCATCTTCAATGTCTCGTCTCCACTATCGCGGATGTCTGCCTCTGCTGAAATGCTGCCTATTCGACATTTAACTTGTTTAAAACATCTTCCATCTGATGTTATTAGGGTATCCAAGTACTTAAACAAAACATATCATCTTGCTTGAGGTTTGTTCTATTTACTTTAATGTTGCATTTTGGAGGTTCAGTTTTCTTTGTAATTACCATTACTTCTGTTTTTCTGCTGAACAAACTAAGACCCTATTTCCCAGAAACTGTATCCTCCATAATCATTCTCTCTCCAAGCCATCAAGACTTTTAACATGGCCAAAATACCTCAGCTTTCAGTACAGGATGCTGTTTATGAGCCAGTTCACATACACTTTCACACAGTATATCATTAATTTGTTGCTAGTTCTAGGTAAATGACTGTCCAAGAAAATGGCTGTCCATGTAATTACTGTTACTGTAATAACACCTCCTTCAACAGAATACAAACAAACACAAACTGAAGATTCTCAAATTATCATCGTGGCCAGGACACCGAATCTTGAGACCCACCAAGCAAGTTTCTTTTCTTTATTTGAGGTTAATGTGGCTTAGGCGTTTCGAGTCCCACTTGTGATTCCAAAGTACCGCGATCAAAATCCACTACTGGCTGCGTTAAATTTTATCGTGGTATGGGGGGTCGTAGGTTGACCCAGCCCAAAATGGGTACCAGGATGGCTGTCCTGGGGAAGTAAAGACGGCCGGAGTGATGCTGACCACATTACCCACCTAGTGCCGATGGTCTGTAAAAATATGGGCGCTCTTCCCATATACCCGATACGCCTAAAGGCGTAAAAAAGGGATCTTTACTTTTTTTTTAAACTAATGAACAAGCATTGTGTCAGGAGCAAATCATTCCATAACATAGTTGCATGTTAATTAACGGCATGTTATCAGTATTAGCATTAATGTTAAACATTACAACTGGGGTTAGAGTAAGTTCCAGCAGAAAGTCAATGGTTAAAGTTTGTTTCGTGTAAAAAGTTGGTTAGTTTTTCAGGCCAATGCAAGCATGCTGGTTAGTAGCAGTAAAAAACAACAACTGTCACACACTAAAGTTCCTTTGTTTGGTGAAATTAAGTATGTGTTTAAAAAGCTTCTACTGCTGTGATACATTGCTGCATATGGGTGTCAAGTTGTGAACTTTCTCTTTGTGTACAGTCTATTTCAGTGATTAAATTACATCAGCTCTGATGATACTATTACAACGGTTTTGTGATAAAATGATTAGCAAATGATAAATATACAATTACCTTATAATAATCTTAATAAGCTAATAAGAAATTTATCATTAACTTATAATAATCTTGACGAGCTAATGATAAAACTACAGTGGTTTTCTAGTGACATATTTTCAGTTTATAATAAAATTCTAACTTTAAGATAATACCATAACAGTTTTACAATAAAATATAAATGAGCTATTAATCAAAATTACATGTTGTCAAGGTAGCAATTTTGTGGTATTGTAACAAAACTGATTTATAAATCCAAAAAAAAAAAATATATTTTAATGACCTGAGTACAAAAGGTTTGATCAAACTATTATCAGATAACATCCAGGTGTTGTTAACTGCAAATAATAAATATCTGTTTTTAAGCGGCTCTGCCTGTATCACAGGGGGGACAACTGTGTTGCCTCTGTGTGGAGTAGATCATAACAAATTACCTGACCTCAAAACACCAAACAGATCAAAGGAAAGTCAGGGAGAGAGAGAGTGACCACGCTAAATGAAAGAACAACAGCAATGCACTACACAAAGACATCAATGATTAAATAAAAAAATAAAAACCATTGCTATTAAAGTTGACTCGCAGTAAGATCTCTGCCGATGATAATCGTCCTGCAAGATAATAGTCCAGGTTGAGGTTGGCAACAACAACACACACAAAAATAAAAAAATGTAGGTCACGAAGTAGCTCATTGTTCAGAAGAGCTGCAGCAGCTAATCTATCAGACTGCTCAATGCCCCACACAACCAAAAAACCTGGACAGAAAATCCCTGACAGGGAGTGTATGGCAAGGAAAGGGCTGCGGGGAATGGGGGGCAGGGTCGCTTTAATCTGAGGATTTAGGGCCATATGCCTAGTGTGTCCTGTTGGTACCTTTCCATCTTTACAGACGATAGTGTTATCTTTTTCTTCGTCTTCTTTTGTTCGCTTGAAATAGATTATCCATATCTACAATGTTGTCTCTAGTAAGAACTTCACTGTCTGTTGTAGTTAACTCAGCCTGCCGTAAAGTTTGCCTTGTACCGGTGTTTCTCTTGGCCAAAAGTTTAACCTCGATATGCTGTAATTGGGACAGTCTTGGAGGATGTGATGTGTTGCCTCAGTTGCCAATCCACATGTGCACATGGCTGATTCACCGATTTTAAATTGTGTGTACATGTGGCTGCGAAGTCGATTGTGTCCAGTTCTGAGGCGTAAAATAATAACTTGCTCTGGTCTGTCCATAATATGGCAAACGTCTTGTGCTTTGGTGGCTTTCTGATTGATAAGATTCTCTTCTTCTGTTAGTAAGAGACTGGTACGTCGGGTTGTTCTTCATTTGCATCTTCCTCAGCTAGTTTATCAGATCTTTCATTTCCATGAAAGGTGCTTTATTAATATTCTACCCCAGATGATGTCACAGGACAGTCTAACATTTTAGAGGGTGGTTAAGACTGGGTTTCCCAGCTTTCTGATGCTTTCAACGACCCCAAAACATCTAGAACTGGCCCTAACCCCAACCCAACTAAGTCCCACGAGAGATTGCAGCCTAGGTCCCATGACTGCATGCAACCTATCTACCACTCTGAAATATTACTGTCCTGTGACCTGTGGATTTCCCCTGTTTGGGGTAGGGTGTAAATAAAACACTCCATGAAATATTAAGTTAGAAGAGGCATGGGAGTCGCAACCAATGGTAGTGGCGAAGTTGACTATCAAGACCTGCTCTGGGTTTAGATAAGTCTTCCACAATTAGAGCACGCGATTTCAGGATCTTTGTTCTGATCCCATGTATTTAGCGTGCTTCTTCTCAGGTGGTGAAGTAACAACCATCAAATTACACAGATCAGACAATACAGATAGCAGACACATAAAACAAAAGTGTTTTGCTAGGCATAATCATGCTGGGGTGGAAACAACATAAAAGGAGGGGATTATGAAAATATAAAGTTAATAATGCTGAAGCCACTTGTATACAAACAAGAAATGAATATACTAAAGGGAAAAGGCAAAATGCACATCAATTTTTTTGGGTGCCTTTTCAACTCCATTGAGCTTTTTTCTTCTTCTTCTTCTTCATCATCTCATTCTGCCTGCCATAACCAGAGGGTCTGGCCGGCTCACTACACTCAAAGAAAAGGCAAGACAGACATTATAACTAGATTGTGACCAGTACCACCAGTATTGGAGCTCTGCACTGGCTGCTGAAGATGAGGCTGAAGCATGCATGGGAAGGCCCTGAGTGCTGTGACGTCAGTGGTTTTCACATGAGAAGGTCACAAGCCTCTATTAAGGCTGTGAAGCAACATGTATCCTCAATAATCTACACGGTTTTGTTTCAACTGAAATGCCAACTGGCCCACACCTGGGATCTGGCTACTGCATACAGCCAGAAATGTCCGGGGCAACCGCTGGTATCATGAATAAGAAAGAGGAGACGGTGCTATAGTGGACATCTTTCTGAGAAGCGACAAATTGAGAATCACCAAACCGACACTGGAATAGAAAATAAAGGCACCAGGGAAGCGAGGATGCCCAAGAGATACCTGAAAATGAATGAAAACCCTAAGATAGCGGTTCTCAACCTGCCGGTGGCAACCCTTTTTTGGGGTTGAATGACCCTTTCACAGGGGTCAAAGGCAAAGGTGCTGACCTTATTTCCATCCACGATATCGAAGTGACTGCACAGGATAGAAGCAAATGGAGGAATAGACTGTGAGCCCTGTGTGACACATTACAGCCCTGTGTGAGACATTACAGCCCTGTGTGACACATTACAGCCCTGTGTGACACATTACAGCCCTGTGTGAGACATTACAGCCCTGTGTGACACATTACAGCCCTGTGTGAGACATTACAGCCCTGTGTGACACATTA